TTGTTGTTGTTTTAATTGTAGTAAAACATATATAACATAGAATTTATCATTTTAGATATCTTCAAGAGTGCAATTAAGTGGCATTTAGTATTGATATTGTGGTGCAACCATCACCACCATCCATCTCCACAACTTTTTCAGTATCCCAAACAGAAACTGTTTACCCATTAAATAATAACTCTCCATTCCCCACTCCCCCAACGCTTAGTAACCACTATTCTACTTTCTGTCTCTATAAATTTGACTATTCTAGGCACCTCATATACGTGGACTCATACAATACTTGTCATTTTGTGTTCGCCTTATTTCACTTAGGGTAACACCTTTGAGAGATTTATCCATGTTGTAGCCTATGTCAGAATTTCCTTCCTTTTAAAGGTTGAATAATATTCTATTGTATGTACATACCACTGTTTATTTATCCAGTCATCTGTCAGTGGACATTTGGGTTGTTCATCTTTAGAACTTCTAATGCTGCCATTCCTCTCCTGCTTTTATGCTATTGTTGTCATACATTTTACTTAGACATATGTTATAGACCCCACAGTACACAGATATTATTTCTGTTTAGTCAATTGTCTTTTAAAGATATCTAAATAGAAAAATATTTTATATTTATCCATGTAGTTATCTCCTGTGTTCTCTATTCCTGATATTCTCTATCCTCTAATATTTCCTGAAGGGCAGATGTGCTTATAATAAGCTCTTTCAGCTTTCATGTATCTGAAAACATCCGTATTTTGCTTTTTATTTTTGAAAGACATAGACTATAGAATTCTAGGTTGAAAATTTAAAGTACTGAAAGGGAGAAAATGATGTTGCTCCCCTGTCTTTTCACTTGCAACAAGAATTCTGCTGTTGTGGTTATCTTTGTTCCTTTGTATATAACATTTCTTCTTTTTCCTCTAGTTGCTTTTAAGATTTCTTCTGTATTACTGGTTTTGAACAAATTGATTATGATGTCCCTTGGTATACTTTCCCTCATTTTCTTGTACTTGGCATCCATTGAACTTCTTAGATCTGAGTTATAGTTTTCATCAAACTTGGACATTTTTCAATCTTTATTTCTTCTAATATTTTTCTGTTCCCCCTTCTCTCCTCTCCTTGGAAATTCCATCTACATATATATTTTGGCTAGTTGAAGCTCAATGATGCTCTTTTGTTTGTTTTTCGTTTGGTTTTTACTTGTTTATTATTATTCTTTTTATCTGAGTGTCTCATTTTGAATAGTTCCTATAGCTGTGTCTTCAAGTTCACTAATCTTTTTCCCTGCAATGTCTAATCTGCCATTGATCCCATTCAGCATGTTTTCATCTAAGATATTTTCTTCCCTAAAAGCTTTTCATTTCTAAAAGTTCAACATATATCTTTTTTTAAAAAACTATATCATCTCTGTTCCTACTTAAATTTTTGAACATATGAAATACAGTTATAATAACTGAATTTCTTTTTCTGTCAATCCTAATGTATCAGTTCCCAGTGAGTCTGGATTGGATTGATAGATTATTAAGGGAAATATTTCCTGCTTCTTTTCACACCTAGTAATCTCTGGAAGCCAGTTGTAAATTTCACCTTGTTGGCTACTGGTTGTTTTTGTATTCTTTTAAAGCTTCTGGAACCTTGTTCTGAGATGCAGTTTCATTACCTATAAAGAGTTCTTTCCTTCATGTCTTAATTTGATGATTTCCTCAGAGGGCCTAGAGCTCCACTGAATGCTACTCATTCCCCATTACTGAGGCAAGACTTTCCCAAGTAGTCCACCCAGTGCCCCATGAGTTATGATTTATTACACTAGGGCTGTTAAGAACAGGCACTGTTCCTGGCCCTGTGTGAGCACCAAGCTTTTTCTTTCCAATTCTTCCCAATGGATCTTTCCCAGCCTCAGGTAATCTCCCCACATGAAAGAGTTCCTCCATATTGAGCCAAATTCTCAAGCAGCGGGGCTCTGCAGATTTCCAGAGTTCTTCCATGTACCTCTCTCCTCTCTGGTAATTTGTCCTATGAAATCTAGATTTCTTGGTCTCCCTGGACTCTTAGCTCTGTCTCCCAGAATCGGAAGTTTATTGTGCTCCACCTGGAATCCTCCTCCCTACCACATGGCCTGGAAACTCTCTGAAAGCATTAGGTTGAGATAATCACAGAGCTCACCTTGGATATCCCTGTATCTCAGGGATCACTGGCCTTCATTTCTTGGTGTCCCGTGTCTTTAAAAACCATTATTTCAGGCGTGCCTGGGTGGCTCAGTTGGTTAAAAACTATTATTTCATATATTTTTGTCATTCCCCCCCCCCACCCCTGAGATTTCTCATATCCTACTCTTGGTAATTAAAAGAGGTCAAAATTACCAGTGACTGGAGTATCTGGCCTCACCAACCTCTTATCCTAGGCATCAAGCTGATGAATCATCCCTGCCAGAAATCACCCTCCTGGCCAGCTGGTCTCTGAACCAGTGCACCTAGCCCAGGGGGCGTGTGGGGGTGCTATGCCTGGGAAGATCGACTTTGTCTAATTCACATGAAGGTTTCACATGCAATGGCAGCCCATCTGACCTCCATCCTAACCCATCCCTCTCCAGATGGCTATGCTATCTCCTTTGACCTAGCAGGCCTTGGGCAGCCAAACTTAGGAAATGGCTATGCCTTCACATGAAGCAGACCCTCCTTTGCCTCAATAACACTGTGCTATAGGTGGCAAGAGGAGCAGATCAGACACTCCAAATATGGTCTCTGGGGCCAAAGCAAGGTTATAAAAGTTTCAATGAGTATCCAACAGTGGAAAGGTCCTGACCAAATTTTCCTTTTTAAATAGAAATAGTATATGTGAAGCATCTTTTGAAAATGTTTAGTTTTTAGTTTTGGGGGTGTGTGTGTGTTAGACTGAAATAAAGGGACAATGATCTATCCTTCTATCAATTACTGAGGCCAACAGCTTTTCTGTTTCCTTTAGAAATAGTATCTAAAAATCTTCTGTTAATCCTCAAGACTAACTTCCCCAAGTTTAAATACTCCCTATTTTAGTCTACTTGTGCTACCACAACAAAATACCATAGACTGGGTGACTTAAACAACATAAATTCGTTTTCTCACAGTTCTGGAGACTGAAAGTCCAAGATCAAGGTGCCCTCAGTGTTGGTTTCTGGTGAAGCATCTCTTTCTGGCTCGTAGACAGTCATCTTCCTACTGTGTCCTCACATAAGTTTTCCTCTGTGCACGCGTGGAAAGAGAGAGGTCTCTGGCGTCTCCTCCTCTTCTTATAAGGACACCAGTCATACTGGATTAGGGTCCCACCCTTATGATCTCATTTAACCTTAACTACCTTTTTAAAGGCCTTATCTCCTCATACAATCACATTGGGGGTTAGAGTCTCAACAGATGAACTCTGGGGGAACAATTCAGTCCACTGTACTACCCCCCCAACACTTGAGCAGCAGGATCACCATTCTCTTTGTGTACCATGGATGCTGACTTTAACCCAAGGCCCCCTGCTTCATTTTCATGCTCTCAGGATGACAGAGGACTCTTTGGGTTCACATTAAGTATGGTGTCACTACAGGCCCCTCCTTGGGGACCCCGGAGAGCTGGCACTGGCAAAGCAACTGCAGCTGTGCTGCCCCAGACCCACAGCTGGACACCCAGTCACAGTCACAAGGAATTTATCAGGTTGCACAGGGCAAGTTTACCCATGCCTTTAACCTCCTCCTCCCTCTACACATGTCCCTTCCCCACTTCTCCTCTTCAACTGCATCCCTGCCCCAGCTGGTCTGGCTCCTTGCTCTCCTCCCACATTGACACCTCTGTAATATAGGCAGGGTACCAGGAGGCAATACAGCCTGGCAAAGGTTCCCAAACTTTGCTATACATTAGGATCATTTGGGGAGCTTTCAAAACCCTCAATGTCCAAATTGCATACTTTATGGATTCAATCAGAATGTCTGGGGTGAAAGACAGACTTGGATACTTTTACTGAGGAACTAGGTTCTGAATCCTGGTCTCACTACTTCTAGTTCTGTGGCCTTGGGTAAGTTACTTAACCTAAATGGAGCACCTATCTTATAAGATTGTAGGAAGGTTAAATGAGTGAATACTGTGAAGAGCCTAGCACGGGACTTGCCATGTAAGGTATGTGCTGTAAATGTTAACTACCATTATTACCAGAGGTGCCCTAAATGGAAGCAGTGCCCTACAGAGGAAAACCATTTACTAACTCAAGAATTCAGAAAGGAGAATCAGTATACTAACTCTCTAACTGTGAAAGGGAAAAGAGTGAGCTAACATTTATCAAATACCTGCTTGGTGCAAAGCATACATTATTTTACTCAATCTTTACAATCCCTCAAGATGGATATAATTACTTAACAGAAGAATAAACTATAGCTTAAAGAGATTAATTTGGGTCAATGCCTAATGATGGAATTGGGATTTGCAACAAGGACTTTCTCACTCCAAACTCAGGTTCCTCTGAATCCTCTTCTCAACTAGGCCTCCAGCTTTGAACTTCGATGTTTGTCTCTGCATCACCCAATTTTAGCAAAAATCCTGCTAAGTCAGTTTAGCCAGAATCCCCGCACCCTTCACATCTGATCAAATATCTCATAGCCCACCACCCCCAGGTGATATCTGGTCATCCTGGCCTGCCTTCAGCAAGAATCCTGTCAGGTAGGTTTAGCCAGAATCCCCTTTTACCCCTGATGTTTCCTCTTAGTAATTTTCCATCCACCAACCCCACCCCGCTCCTTGGCTGCAAATCCCCACTTGTCCATGTTGTAGTCATCACTGAGCCCAGCTTTACACTGAGGCCTCTTCTCCCTAGCAATAGTTACCACCTTCCTGTCCAGCTCGTTTTTCTTGGACAATCTCACACACACACGCACACACACACTCACATTCACTCACTCACATACACACACACACATACAAACCATAGCACAACTCTGGAAGAACTCCTCAGGAAACAGCCCTTCATCCCCAACTGGTAACACTATGAACATAAACAGCACCCACCATGGTCGACTTTGTCCACATTGGACTTGGGTGGCTCAGCGACCAGCCTCTGGATCTGAGTCAGAGTGCTGCAGGCTTCCTTCATCTCCCTCCAAATAAGAAACACGTCCTCTCTGACCCCAGCTCCTGGGAAGAGAAACACAGTGTGAGTGGGCGGCTATGGCAAGGCCAAGAACTCTCTGGTAGTCCCAGAGGCCTGCTACACACCAGCCAAGTTTCTAGAACATTTCTGAACATCAAATTCCACTTTCCCCACTAATCTGAGAATCAGAACTGAAATCCCTAAGGAAGTGCTGTCACCTCAAGAAATCATAAATGTAGACTTTAGGATGCAATAAATCTTTGTAAATATTTGTAGCAGCCATAATATTTTAAGATGAATTCCTGATAATACTCAAATAAGATAAAGAATGAAATTATTCAAAAGCACCTAACAAAAGCCAGGGTGGGGAACAGAAATTCAGTGGTATATGAAAGTAATAATTCCTAACCTTTCTTGATTAAACTGAGATTTCCCACTTCTCTGAAAACCACCTTCACAGTCCTTATCTTCCCCTAATGTAAGAAATTATTCTTTGGCCTCCTTTTCTGGATCTCTGGTCTCTTAATTAAGGGTTAGGTTTGGCTGTATGATATTTTTTTCAAAATGATATGGCTACTTAATATAAATATTAATCTCATTCTCACAATCAATCAATAAAATTTTATCCTATGGTAAGAGGTCCAGGCCCTAAGAGATTAGTAGTTTCCAGAGATTAAGGAGGGTGTTGGAGCAGGAGGGAAGTGGGTACAGCCACAGAAGTGCAACATAAGGGATCCTCTCGTGGTATCTTGACAACATCAATATCAACGTGATGGCTGTGGTAATGTCCTATAGTTTTGCAAGATGCTACCATAGGGGAAACTGGGTAAAGAGCACCTGGGTATCTCTATTATTTCTTAAAACTGTATGTAAACCTACCATTATCTCCACACACCTCTCGATTAGAGCATGCTGCACACACAAGGCCAGTGGTGAATCCAAGAGGCCACAAGAGAGCTTCCCATTTTCAGTGGCATCCATGGGCCCAGCCACTGGCCTGGTACTACTCAAGACATCACAGGGGCTACCAGAGAGTCGCTGCTCTGGGGTTGCTTCTAATATGGTTCTAGTAAGTATTCAGAATTTAGCAGATATCGTCTCAATTTTAAAAGCTCCATTCCAATAAAAAGCTTAAAAAAAATCTAACTCAATTTCACAGACTGTATACAGTCAGCTCAGAGAACACTGACGATATTATCATTAAAGTAAGCTAGTCCAAACTCTCTAATGATAAATACCTTTGAGGGTACCTGCTTTGTGCGTGGTATTGAACTCGGGCCTTTCTAAACATTGTCTCTTTCTCTTTACCACAGCTCTGCAGGCAAATTCTACTCTTGTCCTCATTCTACAGCTGTATAGAAACAGAGGCAGAATGAGTCATCCAAGGTCACACAGTCAATGAGTGTCAGAGCAGGGAGTCAAACCCAAGTTGGTCTGACTCTACCAACTCTGCCACCCTGCATGGTTGCCCTAGAGAAGGAATGGATGGTTATAGAGGGTCCCTGCAGCCCCCTCCCTGAGCTGCTACTGAGACCTCCTTACCAAGCCTGTCTATGTAATAGTCCACAGATGCTTGAGACCCTATGTCCACTGAGAATGAGAGACCACCATCAGCCTAAGGGCTGCCCCAGGAGACTCATCTACCCAGGGTGAAAGGACTAACCTTAAGCCACCAGGACAGACCAGGGCAGACCATAGTTGATGTTTCTGACATTCAAATGTAGTCAAGAAGGGCAGGGCGGAAGTAAGGGGATGCCAGGGATCTGGCCCTCCCGAAGCTGGCCAGGTGGAGTAAGAGAGTATTAAAAGCTGTATTCATAAAGAAGCAAGTGACAAGCCCTGCCAGATATGGAGGGCCACCGTGGCTCTACAGCCATCAATAGTCCAAGGAGTGAAACGTGATGTATACGCAGCTCCGTGCTGGAATTCTAAAAATGTCGCAACCTGCTGCCAAATGCAAACCTTAAGCCCACAGGACTTTCTGACTGGTGCAAAAGCAAAACTGAATTCCAGCTGCTTACTGTAGCACAGAGGTGTTAAGTAGCAGAATCCTCTCTTTAAAAGTTTTGAATGAGTCAAGGCTTGTCAATTTCCATTCCCCCCACACTTGTCAATAGTATCTTAAGAGGCAGTGAACCACAGGTCAGCAACAAAGGAAAAATTCAAGAAAACTGAGTTGCTCTTGATGATCCAGAAACAGGACAGTGTATTTAAGGGGCAGTAAGTGACAGCATGCTCCCTGTGCAGGTAGTAACCAGATTATCAATACACCAGTTTAGTCATTATAATTAGGCAGCTACAGAGTCCTATGCTGGTGATCAGAAAAAAAAAAAAAAAAAAACCTCAAAACTGTCCATTTAACCAGGTTTGCTTTAAAAACAAAACAAGAAAAACTGCAGAGCAATAAAAAGCATAACTTAGGATGTAGAGGTTTTATTTTGTTATTCCACAGGCAGTGAGGAAGGGCTGCCATTTTTAGCAGGGTCACTTCTAAGGGACTCAGCTGGGATATCAAGCAGTTGCAGCCCAGGGAGACAGCCCTACTGAAGACCGAGAGGATGGAGGACAAGGCACAGGAAATCCCAGTATTCAGAGAGCTCTGTGAATTTAGATGCCATAGGCTAAACCAGAGAGGAGACAAAATCATGAGGAAGCCACACGGATTTTGATCACCAAGGTACAAGCCAGCCAAGATCTGCTATGCACAGAAGCAGGATATGGTTCCTCAAAGAGACATCCAGACAAACTACAAAATCTTCCAACCCAAACGTCCCCCTCCTGCACCAAGCCCTGATATCTCCCATGTGCCATGAGGTAGCAATTTGAAGGCTCACAGAATTCTGACACCAGCTGGGAGAGATGTCATATTAAGCTGCTGTTTTTCATTAGCACCCGGTATTGATTTCTCAAATTGGCTGGTTTAACAAATGAAATGAGCCCCAGGTCAGGTATGTTTTGATATGTCAGAGGAACACCACCTCCCTGTCAAATCTTCCATGTCTCACCTACAGGATAAAGTCCAGTTGTCAGAGTACAATTCATTAATTATTCATTTGGCAAATATTTGTCGAGCACTTACTATGTGGTAGATGGGCACTGCCAGTGCTGAGGGCCCTGCTCCCTGCGTTGCAATCGAGTCCAGGGTTCAAGGCTCTATAGCATTCCCAAATGCTCTGCCACCTGGTCAGGGCACTGTCCTCCCAGCCCGCTAGGGCCCCTGTATGCCACTATCTTCACCATCAGGAAACCCAGAGCTCTCCACTGCACTCACCCCACCCTTCATTCAAGGCACTGTCCAGCCTCTGCCATCAAGGTTGGCCCAGCCATCCTAGCAAACAGTGATCGCCCTCCAGCTCCTTCTCAATCCCATGGAAGGCATTAGCCACAACCACCGTTCTCAGTCCTTTTGCTTCCAGGACACACTCTCAGGTCCCCCTCTCCCCCGTTAGATAGGCTGACAGTATATGCAATTCCTGGCTGCCTGTCACCCCAACCTCCAATTCCAAGGAGGACAAAGAAGCATCAGCCAGTGATGGTGAACTAGTATTTGCATGACCTTGAATCCAGTCTAATTTAAGTCAATCCTTCACAAACATGATGCTTTATTTTTAGTACGCAGCTGCTTACAACACAGCTCACCACTCAGCAGTGTGTCCCCGGTCATTGTGCTATCAAGAGCTGTGGTCTAAAGCTCTCCTATGGTGTGAGCGCGCAGGCTTGGATTACTGCTTATGTTCACACAGGCTGACTTTGCTCACTAGATTGTAAACGTCTTGAACGTAGGGACAATGTCTTTTCTTTCTTTGTATCCTCCACGGCACTTAGCACAAGATCCAGTGTTTTCAGCAAGAATTCTTGTCCTTCCTTGCTTTTATTGTCCTTATTACAAAGAAACAACCAGAACCAAATACATTCTTTCCTTGGGGAATTGCTCCGCTTCAGGACGGACAGGTCCCAATATTGCAAGAAACTCTTCTGAGTGGTATATAACAGACTCACGTCACTTGAGCATATGACTGTGCCCTCGGTATTCCAGACCTTAACAGTGACATGCCCTCAAGAGCAGTAAGTCCCTTCCTTTTAGATCCTCCTGCCACAGCGACACAAGGCTCCCCCCACGTATCTGAAACACTAGCATCCCAACGGCAGGAGGGGAAAGGCAATTCAAAAAGCAGCTAGGGTGACACTGGTCCCAGGACAACCTAATGTAGCACAGGGAGAGGGCAAGCCAGAAACTAAAAACACCATCAGCAGCCCTGAGTCCCAGACCCCTCCCTAGTCCCAGCACGGGCTCATCTGTCTGTGGCCCTTCCCCATTGCACAGGACTCCTGGGTGCAGAACTGACCCAGATGGGTAGAGACTGCTGTCTGCTGGAGCCCTAAACTCCTATTCAGCTATGAGGATCTAAAAGAACTGAACAGAACTATCAAAAGGCAGTATTTTCAGGGAAAAGCAGCACATGCTTCTATTTACAGAAAGCAATACAATGTGTTTCTTAAACTAAACTATGAGGGGACGAAAATCCCCAGAGATCTGAAATTATAATAAGGGTCTGATGCAAGGGGACACTGCAAGTGGTGAAATCAGTAGTTTCTGTTGCAATGGAAAATCCCCGCTTACTTGTGTTAAATTATATATTAAGCTGCTTTGGTGTTGAGAGGTCACTGAACACCTTCTGGCTTGATCTGGCCCCACCGCCCCAACCACCAAGGTGCGTGGGCAGCTGCACTCAGTTGCCCTGTGGAAATTAATCACTGATTAGTTTAAAGAAAATAGAGTCATTTCGCTATCTGGATAAACGTCTAGCATTTTCCTGGAGCAATGAATATACATGTTTCACAAGGGCCATGATGTCTTTTTTTTTTTTTTTTTAAAGATTTTATTTATTTATTTGACAGAGAAAGACACAGCGAGAGAGGGAACACAAACAGGGAGTGGGAGAGGGAGAAGCAGACTCCCCGCCGAGCAGGGAGCCTGATGCGGGACTCGATCCCAGGACTCCAGGATCATGACCTGAGCCGAAGGCAGTCGCTTAACCAACTG